TTCAGACGTTTGTAGCGCAGGGGGCACAAACTTGACCCCTAGCATACAAACGTCTGTAAGATTTTCTGATTTTTTAGAACCATATTTTTGCTATTTTGTATGATGCGACTCTCAAACTTGGCTATATTATTCATTTTTAGGTGCTCTTTCTAGCCGTGTCGATGGATTTTCGCTACCTGCGGGCCATCTGATAGGGTGCAATAAAAAATCAGAAATTGAGCGATATTTTCAGGGTAAGGCCTATTATGCGGTAAATTATGCAATTATACGATTTTTTTCCTCAACTATTTTAAGCTTATGTAGTAAAACCATGGCGAAGGGGTCGGTTAGAGTCGAACTGTTGTGAAGCTTGGGCTAACCTTTGGCTTATCAGGGCACACTCACAAAGAGAGGCACATGCAACTACAGTACAATCAACTGAATCTACTTTATTGCTTGAATCAATGTTCTTATATACATAATGGTAGCTAACTAATTCGAGATATATAGTACAGAGGATAAATGGAGTTTCCGTCGGGATAAAAAACTTCATCACAACATAACATCAATTTCATAGATATGGTTGAATATTCAAGAATGTTTTCATTCTTACTTTAACAACAATGGATTACACAAAGATCATATTTCCGGTTATAATTACATAATCAAATGTTCTCTAAAATTGCTTGTCAGGTTATGTCACACTTTCTTACACTTATTTAACTAGGATTCTGAGAAAGAAAACCACTTTTGTGCTGTTCAAATGACAATTTTTTTTATATAAGAACAAAAAATAAGCAATTATGAGTGAATTGGGATAAAAATTTAAATATGACACATAATTATATACCAAACCGAGGCACTAATGGGGTATTTTTTGCACCATTGCATAATATCAGATGGCCTGTACGCAATGGAGATCAAAAGTTGAAAAAAAAAACGAGGAAAGGACTTATACTCATGAATGGAGACTGGATATCCCGAATGGATTAGTGTTAGAGTGCTTTTCAAGATTTAATAAGCCATACATAATTAACTGGATTTGCGAAAACCTGCCTACTGAAAATTGCAGCCATTTGACCAGAATAAGGTCAGAATGCGATGTTTTTGGGTCCGACAAGACTGAAAATCACACCACAACAGGAAATGAAAAGGAAAAATAGAGAAAGCAAGGAGAATGAAAGGAGGAGAAGAGAAAAAAAGCAATGGTTGCACTCTTGGTCTTCATTGTGGCTACTTTGGTACATCAATTTTGGTGCAATCATTTTCTTAGGAATTCTTAGGGAAAACTAGCTACTCCAGTGCCCTGTACCAATTTTGTCAAAAAACAGTTTCAGTTATAGAGGTTTGGTGCTGTGGAATAGGCTACCTGTTGAGGTGTGGCAAGCGTGAGCTCTCTCCTCCTTTAAATCCAGTTGCAGCTAATCCTTTTTAAAGTATGGATAAAAATTGGAGTCATAATGCTAGGCATTCATGGAAAGCAGGCACCTATTAGTTATTATAACTTAGTTCAGTTAAGGATTGTTACTAGCATTAGTTAATTGATTCGTAATAATTTTTCTCATGCATGATGATATTTGTGTTATGTTACAAAATACTTGTGCCCACAAGCAGTGTTGGATATCTTAACCCTTTAACTCCCAGATCAAATTTGTTATTCTATTCACTGTCAACCATAAAATTCTTATAATGTTAGTTCAGAGAATTCAGTGTTGGATCAACTAATTATCCCCCAATTGATCTTTTTCTTTATTCTCATCACTTATCTTGTTAATATTGTACAGATATTGTAAGAAGAAATTCTGTCTTGGTCACTCATGTGAGTTAAAGGGTTAAACAATATTCATACTAATATGGAAAATGGAAAGTTCACATGTGGCATATTCATTGACCTGAAGAAGGCATATGACACTGTTAACTACAATATACTTCTGACCAAACATCAAAATCACAGCATCAGAGATATTGTGAATGAGTGGCTGAGTAACAGGCTGTATAAAATACACTTATGCCAACTGTAATATTTCTGATCTAGAGCAAACAATGTGTTAAGTCCCACAGGGGTCGGTGCCAGGCTCTCTTCTTTTTCTTCTGTATATTATTAATGATTTGTACAAAGCATCCTCAAAATTCCAGGTCTATCTTTTTGCTGATGACACCAGCATAAGCTATGCCAACAGCAACCTTAAACTTGAAGGGGAAGTAAATCTCGAAATGTTTAGGGTAAATCTATGGTTGGTACATAATAAACTTACTAAACTCAATAAAATGTAATATTTAAGCATGTAATTAATAATGTTGTTGTTGTTCAGTCCTTTTTTAGAGATTTGGTTAGTTATAGCTGTATGGTACATGTATAGCAAGACCATTCATGGACACTGACAAACAGAATACCCCAGGTAAAAGAAGCTGTTAGCTATTTCAGTTTATACTGCCCAATCAAAGCCTCATGACCCTCACCTTTATTTTTTGGTCAATTCTTGTTTTGTTTCCACATTGTTTCCCTTCAGAATGAGATTTTAAATGTGTAGCTTCTTTAGTTTCATCGGAGAGTTTTATGAAAAGCAGGGAACATCTCACACCCCCCAAACCCCTTCCCCCATATTGAGAAATTAAACAAGGCCTGTCTGATGCCGATGCTTTCCCAATGGTTTGTCCACCATGTTTGATTTGTATATGTTGTAGATCAAAATGAAATTCAGGTTAAAATGATTTAACCTAGTTTGATTCTCAATTTCCTTAGACAAAGGTATTTTGTTTTGACCAACAACATACATGTTAACAGCCAGGTAAATAGCCAAGGAGAGGAAGAAGTAGATATTTGATAGGAATAACAGCATTTGTTTAAATTTTCAGAAAAAGAAACCACCTACCTAGAGTAGTCCAGTAAATGTGCTGTTTCTCAATTTTTTTGCAGGCTTTATGAATAATAATTTATTATTGATAGCTAGTGATTGACAACAGAACACCTGCCAGAGCTCTTGTGAGAGGCAGTTGTTATTGAAAGCACTACCTCACCTACATGTAGGTGGAGATCATCCCATCCAGGGGAAGAATCAACAACCCTAGTTGCAGCGTGCTACAGAACTGGCAGTTGGGGCTTTAACTATCCACTTCCTTAACCGTGTAAATTGTTCTGTGAATAAAGGGATTAATCATGGCTGGTTTTGAAAGCAGTCAAGGTGAAGGAGATAGCAAACCTTTGGCTGTGGCTGAGTAGTTCTAATTTTAAATGGCAATTGTCTCTTCAAATGGTCTCTTACTTGCATGGTTCTGTTATTCATGTAGGTGCTAGCAGTGCTACACCATCCACCTCCAAGAGAACAGCTTCAGAGGCCTTTGAGGGTTCACCTACAAGTGAAGGTTACTTGTTCACTTTTTTTGAAAATGCAAAATATTTTTGCAAGTTTGGAACTATCATTTTCACTGTAGAACAGCTACCATGGAGAAGAAAAAAAATTAAGAATTAAAACAGATGACTTTGGTGGTGTAGCTGCATGTATGCTTAGGCCATCTTTACTCCTGAGAGGAGTGTAGCTCTTCCACCTTGGATCTCCTAGGGACTCTGTTTAAGGCTATGATGCTGGTAGAACTGATTGTTTCAAAACTGATTCAGAAGAATTCAATTGCAATACCTAAAGCTCTTAATTTCTTTATTGCATGATATTTCACCTTTCATTTATAATTAGTAATGCTTCTACAGTCATGCAATCACTTCATTCTGTGGAATCTGGAGTTTAGTACCAGCCTTGTTGGGACACCTGTCACCAACTTTAACTTTCCTTGTTTTACATGGTCTGGTTATAGGTGCTGATAGTACAGTGCCACAACCAAAGCGGAGAGTTTCAGAGGCCTTTGAAAGCTCATTAAGTGAAGGTTAGCTCTATGTCCTGTTATTATTGCAAAATTTTGTATTCTGTAAGGTGCACAAGACTTGATTCTGGTGTGAGATGTCAAAGAGAGGACTTCCCATTACTTATAATACTATCACTGAAGATACGAAAGATTATAACAGTAATGTTGTGCATGCTACTCAAGAAGTAGCAGAAATAAAGCCTCAACCAGTCACCAAAAATTTGATTTGATTGATCTTCACAAGAGTTAAGTGGGTCATTGTCTGTATACTTTTTGTAAATTAAATGGACACATGAATGAATAAAAAAGTGTAAGTGTGTAAAGAGTGTAAAAAACTAATATATGTGGTTTTTTTTTCAGCTTCAGATGGAGAATTTGACACTGAAATTGTCTTTGCCTTAGATTATTCCTCAAGTGTGTCAGATGAAAACTTCCAAAAGGAAGTAAACTTTGTCAAACAATTGGCACAGTCTTGGGATGTTCCCTCAGAGGATTCCATAGTCACTGTTGTGTATGGGCATAGTGCCAAAGTAGTAACATTGGATCCTGGCAAAGACAACTCTTCTGTTGAATTAACAGAAGTGAGACCTGAAGCATGGATTGAAAGTGGAAGAAGAAGAATGGATCAGGCCCTACTTAAGGTTGCTGATTATTTCAGAGGGAGGTCCAAGCATGATCAGAATGGGCTTCATCAGCTTGTCATTCTAGTGACAGCTGGTAAGCAGGTATCAGGCACTGAATGCAATGAAGATAACCCTGCTCCCCTTGTGTCAGCATATGAGAAACTCTCCTCTGAAAACATCAAAATTGTTGTTGTGTCAGTTGGCTTGGCAGCTGATTTCAAAGAGCTTGGTCACTTGGTGAAGAGGCCACATTTTTTGTTCCAGCTCTCCAGTTTTGATGATATGACACCTGAAGAAGCCCAGAGTATGGCAGCATACATGAAGAAGACAACAGGTGAGCCTACTGTCAGTTCCTCTTCCTATATGTAATGAGTCAAATCAAATCAAATCAAATCTTTATTGAGCTGATTTTGAAGAAGAAGAATTAATTTACAATCTCGAAGGGTTTATAAAGAGAACTATTCAGTCTGAAGTAAAGATAGAGTGCAAGCTGGGAAGCTAAATTAACCACTTGGTATGAATAAAATAACATCAATTTTAACAATAGATTATTGCTTTAGCGTTACTAGTCAAACAGCAAGAAAAAATACATTACAGGAAAGGAAACGTAATTAATATTTACATTTAATAATATAATTCAGGGGTTTCATTAAGAGCCAGGCACCTAGCAAATTTGCTGGCTGTTAATGTAGTTTTGCCTGCCTGCCATGAGCACATCAAGGTAATTTTTGGGACAAAGAAGTTAAATCCAAACAGATCTGCAAAAGTAAATGCCCTCCTACTCGAAACCTTATGAAACCCCTGTGATTGCAATAATAGAGGTCCCATGCAGTTATTTTAGGGGAGTTGTAATTCACTCCTGCACCCCACCCCACCTCACCCCACTCCTGCTCCCGAAGTGGTGAATCTCACCCAAAAATGACTGCATGGGAGGTTAGTAAGGCCATGACAAAATAAACCTGCTGTAGTACCAGAGGTTAGCACAAGGGTTTCTTCTTGAAATGTCCAATCTTCTTTGTCCCAATCATTCAATGTATATGCAGTTCCATCTTCCACCATAATGCTTCATTTATCCTAACTTTTGTCACACCCAACTTGATCATAAAATTGACGTGTTTAAATCACTGTTTAGTCTAGTTCCTTTCCTCCTAGTTAAATAGTTATTATGCCATTTATAATGTTAAATGCCATTTATAATGTTTTACCATGAATAGGTTTGACTTTGAGGTGGTTTGTTTGCACACAAATGCTGAATTTCCAGTCATGTCTGCCCCATTTTCAGTTAGGGAGCAAACCCTGAATAGTTTTCTTTTGCTCAACTAACCTGTTTGTGATATGAAGTAATTTTGCTTAACTCCTTGCACGAGGCCTTGTCAATTTTGCCAACAAACCAAACAAGTGATGGATGGGTTCTAGAGTCATAGTTTGATTTCCCCCTTTTTCTGTTATTGCAGACATTGAAGCCTATGCGAAAAAGCAATTTGACCGCTTCAAAGGTATCCCCCAAAAGTCAGGTTTGTGGGAAAATATTAGCCTTTGTTCTGATGTCATGGAAGGAGCTTGGTACTTACTGTACGATGATCAGAAGCAGAATAAACACGCTGGAATCAAGAAGAAGATACGAGAAAATATTGACAATTTTCATAGCAAACTTGTAACAGAAAGTAAGATTACTGTTTTAGTTGATGTGTTTGGGCCACTCGGGGCTGGTAAGAGTTTTTTCCTCAACTTTCTTTTAAATTGGGGTTTACCTGATGAACATAAGGTGGAAAATGGGCCCCTTCCTTCAGCATCTGGAGGTAGCCAAACACCAATTCCAATTTATGTAAAACATGGTAACAATGTTCAGGTGTTGTTACTCAAAAGTAACAAAGATGAAAGTAACAAAAGTCCCTCTGTTTGGTTTCCCAAAGAGGAACTGGGTAGAGGCACTTTAGCCCGTGTAAGGGATGAGCTCGAATCCAAGTTTGAGGAAATCCATTCAAAGTTTGAGAAAGATAAAAGATTGCCAGATGCGACTTGCATAGAAATTCAGGGACCATTTCCAGTGTTCCGTGATTTGAACTGTAATGTTCACGAGAGCGACAGGACAAGCTCGGGCCATCCACAGCTAGGCGTTGCGCTTGATGTGCAATTCGTAGATTTACCTGGACGCGGTGATCCAATTGGAGACGATACAATCAATGTGGAGCTGAACAAGGCTGATACAATTTTGTTTTTTAGTAGTAGTCAGTCGGGGAGACAAGTTTCGTCGCAAGATATCGCAGACATATTTAGCAGGCGTAACAACTGGGAGTTTACATCGCGGCCCAAACTCATTCATGTAGTTAATGACAGAGAACCACCACACACACCCTCACCCAACTTCGATCTTTTGCACGATGAAAAAAAAGAAAACCTCAAGAAAGGATGGGAGAGCTTTTTCAAGAATAGCACAGGAGACAATGGAGTCTACAAAAAGGTAAGGGAGAACCTTCCTCAGCTGAGTGCTGAAGTCCTTTTGGAGAAATTGTCCAACGAGAGTGACGCCCTTTATTTCCACTCAGGTAATCCTGGCTTTGTAAAATCCTTAAAAGAATTAATTGATGACCATGTTCAGACCGTGAGAATGAAAGAAATGATCCACCCATTTTTGAAAAAAGTCCATTTTGTTGCGAAAAAGCTCAAACAGCGAACGGGTGACACCCGCCACAGACAGAAGAAAAAACAGGAACCAATTACTGTTAACGTTGGAGAAACGCCCTTTATAATGCTTGGTGACATAGATGAAGCGATTGAGCTGATCACTTCCTTTATAGACGAAACACCTCTTCCACTGGAGTTGGATATTAAGAGCTTGCACCACTTCCTATACAACAATTTTTTGGTTTGGAATAAAACGCAGGTGTTTCTTCAAGATACTTTGAAGGCGTCATTGGAAAACTTCACTTCTCAACTGATTGCCAATAGTTCCACTTTGCAAGACGTGGAGGCAGGTCTCCTAGAGTTGGTAGAGATGCTGTGCAAGGATAAAGTCCAGCAGTATTGTGTCGATACTGCACCAGCATACCTGCTGCATGTTTTGGGCAAAAGGAAGACTCGAAACCCATTTGGCAAAGCTACAACGAAGCGTTGGTCAAGTGCCAGTAAAGAACAAAAGCAAGACCAATATCATGAATTGCTTTACCTTCTGCTGATGCATACTTTAGATGCTTTCAAGACAGGTACTCGTGACAAACAATACAAGAAATCTCAGTTTTACCTCATGGAGCAGCTGAAGGAGGTTGTCAGAGAAGGGCTTGCTGTCAGATTTGTCAGTGAAGCTTTCAAGGCTCATTGTTTGAAATCACTGAATGAAAAGTTACCAAAGATAATTGAATTCTGCAATCTCTCCATACGGGAAATAAACCCTCACCCCAGCTTAGATGTTAAAAAAGATCTTTCTCTGCCAGAGAAAATGGTAGCTACCCGTGAAAACACCCAAAGCGAACTGCAGTGTGGACATGAAGAAATCATCAAGGAAATGACAGATCTACTTAATGCTCCAACCAAAGGAAAACGGCTTCCGAAGAAAGCTGACATCATTTACCTACTAGAGACGAGGTTGAAATTTAATCATGGTGATTTGAGACTTCGCCAATCACAGAGCGAAGAAGAACAGCGATTGTGGGCAAAGGCTTTGCTGAATGTTCTCAGCAACGAGGATCACTTTGATGTCAAGCTTGACCCAAATTTAGTCCTAAACCAGGGTGAACTAGAAGTACAGAAACTTTTTGGTCTGGCACGAAAACGCCTCTTTGCCCATCGAAAGTCGCTGGTCACCAGCAAAATCAATGAAGACCTATCATTGCCTGGAAACGAGATTCACTTGAGGAAGAATGCTCAAGAAAACTGTCTTGAAGTACTTGTCTCCGCTGAAATGTCCAACAAGCTTCATACCATTCGTGAGGAATTTAAAGATCCCTCAAACCAAATAGCGCCAATATTCATCCCGACAATCCGACCAGGTCCAACTACAGACATGCAAGGAAATTACTTTTTAGAAGAAGATCCTTGGAGTAAAAATGACTCTTCAGAAGAGGAGGAAGTGGAAGGGATGGATGCAGAAGGAAATCAAGACAGTGGGTTAAACATATTCCTTGTCGTTGAGCCACAACATTTAGAAACTTTTAAAACCACAATAGCTGGCCTCCAGGTCCCATCAGCAAGCAATATCAACTTGATGTACATTGTTTTGCCCCAGAGCGGACGAGGAATTGGTGTAACCAGAGCTATTATTAAAAGCCTAGCAGAATGTTTAAAGTTTTCTCTGTACTGGACCATAGATGATGACATCCAGTTCATGTATCAGTTTGATGCAAATGATCGTAGGTGGCATAAGTGCTCAATTACCAGGGGCCTCTTGTTTGGACAGCGCGTTTTTCAAACATGCCTGGAAAAGAATGTGAATGAACTGTCACAAAAGGATAAAAGAAAGCTGGTTAAAGATGTCAGGAGTATAATTCCATCTTGGGCTGAAGAGACACAAGACCGTGCTAATGAACTTCTAGTTGATCAGATGTCTTTTGCTCAGGTCCAAAAGAACCCCGCCCTTTTGCATCTTCCATTCCAAAACATCAGTGAAGACTGTGGTGGAGATGCTGAAAGGGAAAAAGAATTAAGAGCTTCTGAACAGCGTTTTGAAGATGAGTGCAGAAATCGTCTGTTTGGAGGTGCTGACAAGCGCATTGCTGGCGTGTCCCTTCCTCATGTATCAAGCAGACGCTCTGACTACGTGAGTAAATATCCAGACGCAGATTATATGCCCAGCGACCAGCGTTACCAGATTGTGTTAAACAATGCTTGTGCCCTAAAGGGAAGAAACTTTGTCACAGACGAGATGATCTTCCTTGACGAAGAATTCCAAGTGTACGACAAGGACAAACGTAATAGCCCTCACTGGGGGATAAGAGGTAGTGATAAGTCTTTCTCACGTGCACTCAAAGTCAGTGGTGTGATTGGTTATAAAGTTATTAGAATCGTTCATGACCACAAGAAGCTGAAGAATGTCTTTGACAAGGTAGGTCCTTCTTACATTGGATCTCAGTCCCCCCACAGGTCCGAGGATGAGGATGATGAAAATGAGGAAGATGTTTGATATCGGCGCGGGTGGCGAGTCGTATCTGGCAATACAAAGCTGCCTAATTACTTTGAACATTTTGCATTTTCTGTAACCTGATTACACTAATACAGACGTCTTAGGTCATCACAGGAAGCTTATGTTTGTTTGCCAAATTATCAAATTCGCACAACTTTAGGTGAAAAGGCGTATTACTGTCCAAAGAGAACCACAAATGTGTTGTCTTAGATGTACTTTAAAATGTTTGCTGTATGCGTTTGTTGTATGCAACAGGTGTGACTTCCGCTAAATTGCATACATTGTTGATTAACTAATTGTAAACCAATGTGCCTCTGCCTCAATAACAAATCCTCTTTCTCTGTATGAGGTTAATGTGACACTTTGTAGTGTTTCAAGAAAGGGGCTTTTAAAGTCAGTTAAGGTTTTAGATTGACACGTGTTTAATTGTTTTTTTTTTTTCGGTTATGGGTGTATACACTGTCCAATGCAAGTCAGTTGTGAAATTGAATCCCTCTACAATAATTGTTCGATTTACATATTAAAAATGTTACATGGTCACAGAACGACCTTCCTTCCATGCATTTATTGTTCAAAATGTAAAATTGAAAGACACCTAAACTAATTGAGTTTGTTTATTTTACATGGAAATTACATGGAGCATTATAGGGTTTGTGGATTGAATTTGCACAGGGAAGGGAGGGGGGATAATTTTACCAGCCTCTGGTGGCCTTTTACAGAACATAGTTCACAGTGCCTTACATGATGAGGTGCATAGAGGGCCTTTTACATAGTTCACGGTGCCTTATATAATGAGGTGCGTAGAGGGCCTTTTACAGAACATAGTTCACAGTGCCTTACATAATGAGGTGCGTAGAGGGCCTTCTTCTAAGCTTTAGGTTTTCAAGTCTTTTTGTGTATGTTTGTTTGGGTTTTTTTTTTTCTTTTTTTTTTGGACATTTGTAAATGACAAAGTATGAAGCTCATCATAGTTGAAGGCGGTGGGAAAATCTCCTAGAAAGTCAAGTAGTTTATTATTATCCTAGCAAAAAACACACCCTGTGAGAACATCTCAAGGGCTATAAAGGTAACCTTTCGTAACTGAACAGCACCGTGCTTGTTATCACTGTTGTGCACATGCAGTAAATACCAGGTGGCATTTAGTGAAGTATTTTTAATATATATTATAGTCTATCTTTGTAGGGTGTTTACAATATACAGAAATAACGAGAATTTTAAACTGAGGTAGAGATCAATTTTTTTCTTACTATGTAAATGCATTTTTTTAAAGCTGATATATTATTAGGGATTGTAGACTTTTCAAAAAGTGTATACCACTTATGTTAAGAAAGAACAGAAAAAAAAAGAAAGAAAGAAGAAAAGAAAGAGAAAAAAGCCTGTAGAAATAGCATTGAGATCTTTTAGTAAGGTAGCAATGTGTATTGGTATTAGTATATATTTTTCAGACTGGAATGGATGTTAATTATTTGTTTAAATGTTTAATGAATTAAGCAAGGTTCAAGTTTAAGCCTTTAAGAAGATTTTTACTTCTTTTTGTCAGCCTACTGTAGTTTTAATTTCAATTCACTAGAATTTGAGTTATTGTAGAGAATGATGTCCAGTGCTATGTGCGGTCATGTTTTTTTTTAGTTTTAATGTTTATTGCAACATTAACCTTTTTGGGCTTTCTTAAAATTCTTCACATTGTTAGATCTTGGCATGTTTTTTTAGCATTGTTACCATAGAAAGATTGATTTTAGCTTTATTTAGGGTTTATTCAGTCCCTATTTTTTAAATATCTTTTTAAAGTTTCCTATTATTAGATAGTATTCTTGATCATATTAAAATGAAATCACCGCCATATAAATATTAATTTTATTTATTATTAGAAAAAATCTTATTGAAAAATTACAGTAAGGTAACGTAGCTTAGCAGCTCTCCCTTCATAAAACTCAGAATATGTGCCCATCCAGGAACAAATCTTCACAATCCAAGTCCATGGATTGTTGGGGGCTAGCTGTTTCAGTCTTTTTTAGGGTGTTTAAACTGTTCTAGTTATGCGGAGAGAAACTCATTTTGTAATGCAAAATTTAGCTTCTCCATGAGAGGGAGCTTTGGGCTTATGTTCGGAATTTTTTGGTTTTTTCAATGTTGAGATTTAGAAAAGAATTTTTTAGTTTCCAATTAAAACTATTATTTGCTTGACTCTCTACACTAATGAAAGCTAGTCTGTAACATGAAATTTTTCTTATTTGAAGAGAATAAAAATAGAGCATTTCATTGGTGTTGAATGTCATACAAATACAGAGCATCAAAGGTGTGCAATAGTGTTCCGTGCTTTTAATGTGAAATTGTTGCAGTGGATATTTGTTAATTTTTAACAAAGGTACCTCGATTCCCTAAAGAATAGATTTGACTTATACCATTGTTCAGTATTGTTGTTTGTAATTTTTAGAAAAAGGGATGCAGAAACTACCTATTGTGCCCATTCAGCATACTTCCCAAACAGGTCTCTGTAATGATCATGGGAAGGAAAAAGGTGGTATAAACTGATTTACATGCTCACCATGAATCATTACTTGCAACTGCAGAAACTTTTAAATATGTTTTGGATCAAAAGACTCCTGGAATCAAATATTTTCCCATACAGCCATCCCACTGAGTCAATACAAACAAAATTCATGAATTCCTCACCCCAAACAATTCACACTCTAGTCTACTAAACAATTTGCCTATAAACCTTAGTAGTAAGAGACTTGGTCCTTGTAAGTTGGGGCATGTAGTGTTTTGCAGTTATCTGCCACACGTGTGTCCACTGGAACAGCATCGTGTTTGTCCAATGACATTAGGCAAACATAATCTGCAACCTTGGCTCCCACACCTAGTAGCTTACAAAATGCTGGTTTTTTTCTTTTTTTAAAACAAAGCCAGAACCAGTTAATGAAATTTACCAGTTGAGAACGGGAATACTTATATATAAAAATCGTATGAGTACCAACAACAATCATTTAATTCCCTCTGTTAAATAAGATCAGAAGTGTGATTTCAGTCCTTCTCTGTGTAATCTATCAAAACACATAGAATGATTCTGGAAAGCTACCACCAAAGGCCTAGAATGCAAGCATCTTTTTGGAGAGCACAAGTTGGTGTAATATGTTAATCATGTAATATTTTAATCTGGCCAGCCACCATGTTTTATTTTGGTAAATATGGGCAAAAATACATCTCTCTTCTTTACATCACACTCCGATCCAAAATTGTGGCCACACATTTCAAATCAAAGGACTCATATTAGACATTTCCTAATTGGAAATGTACCTGCACAACTAACCCTTCTGCCCTCAAGAGATACTGACAACCCTTTCATTTCCAGAAGTGATAATGAGCTACTTACAATATCAATACATTAGACAAAACAGATGATGAGGATAGCCAAATAATCAGAGAACATTTTCTGAACAAATCAGCAGGAAATATGGTTGGAGCAGCTGGAGGGAAAAATCAGTCTCTGGAAGTTAAAAGGTTGAGTGAGCTTCCGCTGTATAAAAGGCTCAGCATTTTGAGGTGGATTGCATATTCCAAATCCATAAGCATATATGAGGGTGGCAAAGGGTTTGTATGTGACCCATGATTAAGGCCAAAATTAATATGTAATATATGCATTTTACAAAAAGGCAAGGCAATTCATGAATTAATGAACTAGCATGAGCCATAATGAAAATTACATAAACCGTGAATTTTTGTATTTCATTCAGAGAAAACCTCAACATTTCTCTGAATCCTTGTAGACAAGAGGAGACATTTGAAGTCTACCCTGACGAGTGAAATGCTGTTTAAAATATATGTGACACAAATTTTTCTCAAGCTAGCAGTAACATTAAAATGAATCAGTTGATCAAATTGATTTGTCATGATTGAATAAGGACATAAGCAAGCTGATAATAAGGTTTAAAGTGACTGGTATGCATAGCTCTCCACTTGCTGTAGAGCGATTCAGTTTCTATTCCGAGGTGAAAGTAATCTCATAGAATGTACTCGTGTACATCAGACTGAGGGTAAGTACTAAAACATGGAATGACCTAAAACCACCTAAAACCCCCTTAAACCACCTAAAACCACCTACAACCATCTACAACCATCTACAACCACCTCAAAAATTTCAACAATGACCTACAACCACCTCAAAAACATCTACAGCCACTCGCAAACTATCTAACACCATCTAAAGCAAGGCATAAATGTCTTGAGTAAGGCGAAACGACAACACTTCACGTACACGAAATACAAGAATCGAACGAAACCTCCACCTCCCCTGAAACCTTACTCTCCCTAGTCCCATGTATAATCAACCATCTCACTAAATGAAATGTGAGAGCATGCCAATTATATTTTTATTACCTCAGTGGTAAAAGACCTAAAGAACTTCACTGGCAGAACGTTGCTTGCTGATTTGTATATTTTTACATGTTAAGAAATAAATTGTCAGTCCACTTACTGTCGTGACCAACCTTTTTTTCGTTCAGTGTATAATAAAACAATTATTAGAATAGATCTTTGTGATATCTAGAATAATCAAAGTCGACCTTGATTATTCCGGATATCACAAAAACCTCATCCAACAATTGTTTTCAAACAATCATTTAAAAAATGATTCGATTTATTGTATTCTCCTACTGATGTGATTACCTAAATCATCAAATGACTTTTAAAAGTCCACAAAATTATGTTATGTAGAGCAAAGATCTGGTTGGAGCATCCCAGTCTTTTCCTGAACCCTGTCTATTCCTCCCTGAGCATTTTCTCCGCTGCAACTGATATCCGCTTGATGACAATCATTGTTTAGATTTTTGCTTGGAATTGACAAGAGGGTAATTAGTTGCAGTCTATCAGGGTGCTTTTCTTTCGCATCTTTACAATAGCTCCCTCTGACCCGTCATCTGAAACTTTCTTTCCTACCCACAAACATCGGCAGAAAAATTGGACAAGATGGCGGCCGCGCTTGCGCATTTCGTCCATAATGGCGTCCAAATAATATAAGAAACTGTATGGAAATTTGTAAAATTTCTAAAATATAACAATCAGGAGCTCATGGTCCCATCTGCTCTCGATCGAGACATATTCAGTACTGATTCTGCTATTCATCAAACCTCACAGGGACTCGATAAATAAAAACCACTTACTTCCCGAGCCAGTTCTTTTGTCATTGATTATTGACTTAGGTCGCCATACAATTCTTCAAAATCTGTCGTTCTCCATCTCAAACACTCGCCTATTACAGGAAAGTGCATCAATAAAGTCAACTGCTCTCGATCGAATTGACTGCTACAGAGTTCGAAGCGTCCAAATATCCTGTAAAATTGCCATTTCCTCCTATCAAAAAAGTTCCCAACGCGCCAGAATATCCCTTATTTTCCATGTTGAGTAAGTGACGAGACGCCGTGTTGAAAA